ATCTTTATCAATACTCCGTAGATAAAGTCAAACGATCTGGCTCCAATCCAAATAATTCGAGCCATTCAGCTTATGGCCCTTGATTTTCGACATCACATGTACCATATCCGATGCAACAATGGATTTCTTCTTAGTCATAACTTCTAAATAGAAATACAAAGCAACAAACACAAGACAAGGTAGTAAACACAAAATGGCCCAACAAGCCCAATAACCAAATTGAGGCCAAATATTTTATCGGCCCAGTAAACCCCAATCAATCAATCCAAGCGCAAATAAATACACTGCAGCCCAATCCAAGTGTTTGAAACAAACACTACAGCCCAAAAAACCACACTCGACGCTTCGAATCGATCTCCGGTAAACCCACAAATTCAGGTTGCAATTGCTCAAACGGCGACACCAGAATCGAGCTCCCTGGATGTGGCGAACTCACAGAGTTAGACTGTAGTTGTTCTGACCAAACGGTGACACCAGAATTTCAAACGGCGATGGGAACACAAAATTGGACACCTGAACTGCGAACCCAACGATGCCACTACCAGATTCTCAACCGGCGACGGGAACCCAAAGTTACGACCACAGGTTCAAAAGTTAGAACCCTAGATCGCTCTGATACCATGTAAGATAATATTCTGTGAAATATATTTTTTCATTTCTTTGGGAAAAGGTGTTACACATATATATACAAAATCAAGAAATCTATCTTAGGAAAGTATATAAATTAGGAACCTATAATTAAGCTAATTGACAACTAATTACGACCTTTAACAGTTGTTACTGATCCTGACTATTTTTGAGGTTTCTGTGCAGTGATGTCATCTCATGATTCAATGGGTTTAGTCTTTGAGTGTTTGTCAAAAGGTGCAGCTGACTTCCTGGTTAAACCTGTACGTAAAAATGAGCTGAAGAATCTTTGGCAGCATGTCTGGAAGAGATGCCCCAGTGTGAGTTATCGTAACTTTCTACTTTGGCTCTTTTATTGATCTCTGAATTTCATGCACTGGAAATTCGTTTTGTGCTTGCTTTGGTCTAAGCGAAAATTGTGTAAATTCTGAACATTCCTCATTTGACAGTGTTGAGGTGTTCAGTCTGTGTGTTGAAGTATTTCCAGAGACTTTTTAGTATTTTCTGTTAAATTATAGTTCCAACATTACAAATTTCTTTAAATTTCAGGCCATCCTTTTTAACCTTACTGTAATTGATCGATTGTTTATAATCAGTCTAGTGGAAGTGGGAGTGAAAGTGGTACTCGAACTCGAAAATCTGTGAAATCAAAAAGTAGGGACAAGTTTGACAACAGTGGCAGCTATGATGGGGCAACTAATGAGAGCAACGGTTTAGAAGATGTTGGTGATGGAAGTGAGGATGGGAGTGATGCTCAGGTAGTAGTATATTCTTTTTATATTTCAGAGGAACTATATAATCTTACAATGTTTACCTGTTAGCTAATGCTTTTTGTGTATATGCAGAACCAGCTGACTGAATATGAGCTGTTACCATTTAGATTTGTTGAATCTTAGGGAGCTCTTGCTTTAACTATGAGAAATAAGTAGTGTTTGGCTGCATATGAACATTTTGCTTTCAGTTAAAGATTGTTTCCTTTCTGTTTCTATATGGAGCATCTCAAATTGTTTTGACAGAACAGCAAGGTCTATTGATTTGAATGCTGATTTTCTTTTCTCAACTCCAGAATATATTTTTATTACTATTTTGCTTAGTAAGCTAATAACTGTTTAAAGTAAGGCATCAGTAATTACAGCAAATAGTTAGGAGGATGACAATCCCAATAACATTTATTAGCAATCTACCTTGTCATATCTACTCTTTACGACTTACAAGAGGAGCACTTAACATCAACTATACCGTCTTTGGATTGGATAATTTCCCAATAAGTATTTCATGGAGCTAAGTGCAGTTTGAAGTAGATGAGATATAAAATAAGAATTCAATTTCTCTGGTATATGTTTGTTCCAAGTTATCAAGATTTATGTACTCCCCTATACATGTGATAGTTTACTGAACTTCATGGTCTTCTATTGCTAAATTTGTTAAGATCACAAGTCTAAAAGCTTGTGGACACCAGTACTAGTTTATTGAGTAATGAGTACAATGAAAAAGTACAGGTTTTAGGAAAATCCAGAGAGGCTGTATTGGTAAACATACTTGTCAATCGCATAGAGGTAAACAGAAAAAGCCAGCATTTTCTGAGGCTCAAACTCAACCTTAGTCAGAAATTTCAAGAGAATGTGCAAGGATGTTCAATACCTAAAGAAATAAGCATTTAGGTTTAAGGTTTCTTTGAAGATTATGATTCTGCCATTAATATATGTCCTGAAAAATAGAAATAAATGCTACCCAGAATTTGTTTCCTTTGTATTTTATTGGAGGTTGCAATGTGAAATCTTTATGGTTTTTCGGCTCTTTACCTATTTAAATCAGGTTAGCTGAAAGCAAGGCAATTGAATGCATGATGCATATACAGATCTCCAGTGAAAAAGCTTCAACTTTATTTTTGTAGTATGCACTTGTGTGACATGTAATTTCCAATTCATGGTCTTGGTTTTGTTTGCTCGCAGACATGAATGCAGTGCTTTCTGAATTTCTTCCCTTATAACAGGTGTCACAATGCTAATTACTTTGAACATAAAAATGACTTGTCCAGATTCAAATTCCCGTGGGAGGGGAGGGACAGAATATTTTTATTTTCATCTTTTTATTTATTTATTTTTTCAGCGGGTGGGGTGTTTTAAGATTCTGTTGATTGATTGCATTGCATTTCTTGTATTTAGCAAACACTTCTCTGATATGAAATTGTGGCTGGCATCAGAAATGAAAGGCAAAATTAGAGTTCAAACAGGTCTTTGGTTGCCTTCCTAGAGATAACATCAACCTTGATATACTGATCGGCCTTTCAACTAGAAAATTTTACGCATTTGTTGGATAAATAACTAGAGGAAGAACAATCTGTTACGCTTTGAAATGTTCATCAGTTATTAAAAGCTTTTTCTTTTGTCGTAGAAGTCGTATTTTTTATCTGCGTCACAAGTATAATTTGGCTCCTATTTTTCAGAGCTCTTGGATAAAACAAGCTGTAGAAGTTGGCCGCTCTAAAGCCATGTCCCCAATAGATCAGCTAGCTGACTGTCCAGACAGCACCTCTGCTCAAGATACCTGCTCAAATGCCGAAGCGGCTGCCAACAAAATGTTGCAAAATATTATAGCAAGGAAAGCACATAAAGGAAAAGAACATGGTGTTGATACTTTCCTTTTATTTTTTGGCTTTATTTTTTATTATTATCTTTATGTTATCTAACAAAGCACAGTCTCTTTCTCACTAGATACCGTTGCAAAGGGTAAAAGCTTTCAGACAGTCATCCCCAGGAACTCAGAATCACAATCTGAAAACCCAAATGAAAGTCACCTAGAACTTCAAGGTGCAGAGCAACTGTCATTGCTGGGAATAGATTGCAATATAAACAATAATCAAGTTGATAAGGGACAATTCAAGACCACTGGTGAATGCCTGTTCAGCAAACACAAGGATGTCACTGCTAACACGTCTAGTCCTTGGATTGATTGCAAAGTATCTGAGTGTACTAGAGAAGTGGCAAATATATCAGAAATTTACAATAATGTGACTGATAAATCTAAAAAACCAAACAAGGAGCTTAGATTAAAGAGATTTAGAGGAGTTCAGGAAATTGGGAGGACTGTTCAGGATGACCGATGTGTCTTGAGACATTCTGAGCAATCAGCCTTCTCAAGGTTGGGAGCAAGGATCACCAGTTGATTATTTCTCATCACATTTTCTTTTTTCCCTTGGACAACTGATTTCCATTACTGAGTTGATAGCAGAATTAGCCCAGTTTTCTGTCTTCTCTCTTTCTGTAGGTATAATACATCCTCAAATGTCTTCAAGACCCCTAATGGGATCACCGCAAGCAGTTCAGTAGTTGATTGTAGTGTAGAAAGTGCAACAAGAGAGACGGCTTTTGACTTACAAGCTCATTCAATTGACCATCTTCTATGTCAAAGTTCAAAAGGGAGTAGCAATAATATAGATATGGGATCCACAACTAAAAAGCTTAGTACATTCCTGCCAATTGTGAAGGATAAGTCCGAAGCAACATCTACAATTAACCCTTCTGCTCTCAGACCTGTGAAAAATGACCTTACATACGCCCAACAGAAAGTCAATCTAGTTATACACAATGACATGCAAACTACAGAAAACTTAGCTGTAGCAAGAGGCTCAAATGAGGATGCCCTGCACCCTTATCATCACCACCATCATTGCCATAATTTCCCCAACTTGGAACAACAGCCACCATCGGACCACAATGAATTGTCCCTAAAGAAATTGACTGCATATTCTCCATGCAGTGGATCATCAAATGTATTTGGTGAACCCATGGATGCTAACCTCAGAAACTATAGTTTGAATGGACATGCCTCAGGAAGTAAACATGGAAGCAATGGGCAGAATGGAAGTAGCACTGCTTTAGGGTTTAATGCAGAAGGTGATCTAGGGCAAGCTGGAAAAAATGGAAGCGAAGATGCTAGCGGCAGTGGTAGTGGAAATAAAAGAGGTGAAAATAAACTTGCACTGCAAAAAGATGCCTTGAACAAGATTTGTCAGAAGAGGAAGGAAAGATGAAAGGTAATTGATATGTTTTATATGTGCCCTTGCTTCCTGTTACACTACTGTTATTCGTCAAACTCATTTACCGATTATTCGAATCTTCTTTTCTTTGTCATGCTGGAAAAAGTTTTTCTTTTTATATTTTTACTGAATATGATGCAGGGATGGAAACAAAAAATGTCCTCTTGCATCTGTGTATCTCGTTTATGGGTTATGACCTGGCATGTAACTTACATTGCTCATTGCCGTGGAAGAAATTATGGATTCTCTTTTAATTTATTGAGGAAAGAGCCATGGTCGTGCAAAATACCAATAATGAAATTAGTTGAGGTTCGTATAAGATTCTTCTCAATTGCTAAGGCGATCCTTAAGCCCAAGGTCCAAATATGGAACTTTTAGGATTGTTTTCCAACTACGATGTTCTACTTATCCTTAGACTCCACCAACCTCGCCTCACCAGCCATTAGCTTATCACAATCACCACGTCCTTTGCCATGACCACTATCAGTTTTTCAAAATCCAAATATAAAGTTGCTCAAATATATATTACCCCTCTTTTGTTCTTGGTGGGGTAGCTAATGAGAGTAAAAGAAGGGGGGTGGAGTGTGAGATTTGTGGCGATGGTGAGTTGCCAATGGTCTTGCTGGTTGGGGAAGGGATCTCAAGTGGTTGTGACACTGGTGAGTGGTGTTAGACGAACAGCTGGATGCCATTAGAGGTGGTGAAGGTGGTGGCACTAGTGGCGGGAAGTGAGTGGAAGAATGTTATTGGGGTTCTCTTGTGAAGAAATGCAATTGGATTGGGAGAGAGATAAAATGATAATGCAAGGTTATGTTGGATTTTTCTGGAAAAAAACCATGTTCGTTTGTTCACCAGCTCTGTTGCTTGATATAATAGCTCAATAGTCTCACAGATTGCTCAATTAAACATTTGGCTGAAAGACTGTCTGTAGGACTATTTGTTTGGGTAGATGGAAGTCCATCCAAACACATGATGATGTTGAACTAGTATCAATTAAGCATCTTGCAAGCAAAACAAACCCTTGCAGTTAGGTGTTATCCGGGTTTGCTCTAGGTCTTAATAGTCCCCATAAGAACCCTGTTTAATTGGTAGACACTTCTTTGGGAGGAGTGGGAGAGAGCACACAGTCTTGTCAGTTGGCTAAAGAAGGATAAAATAGCTATCTGATAAGTATTGTCTACCTCTAAACCAGTCAAACATATCTTAATTGTCTCCTGGCTTCATTTGATGCTAAAGACTTGCTTTGTACATCATACTCTCAAAAAGTAAAATGTTTTGCCTCCTGCTTTATTGAAGTCTCACACTACACTACTTTACCAATAATAGAAGGGTAATTTGAATCCCACAACTATTTCTGTCCAAAATTCTGTTTTATGCTTGTATTCACACGTATCACATTGTTGGATGACTTAATTTTTCAAGTTTCTTTTGTTAACATTTTTGTATTAATAGAGAAATGTCTTGTAGATTGTGGTTTTGTTCATGGCTTAGACATGATTTTGGAAACCTACCATTTTAGAATTTTCAAAGCTTTATTTTATTTTCCATTTCCCCAACGCTGGAATTGATGGAAGAGAGAGATACAGGATATCTTTTACTTCATGGTGAAATGAAGAAACATTTCCTAAAAATTTATGTGGTTTTGCTTACTAGGATGTACTGTTTTTAATAGGAGAATTTGACATATTGCTATTGCAGATTCTCAGTTCTCTGTCTTTAATTCAACTTGGTTTCTATTAGTAATCCTCGTGTTCCTGCAGTGATGTTCTTCTGTGGACCATAACTGGATACAGAATAATGATGCTTGGACTATTCTAAACTATTACCTAACAGAGTGAATAAAAAGAGGGAAGAAATAAGAGAGTGGTTATTTGTTTATTAATGAGTCCCAATTACCTAGATCATTCAACGACTGTGTTTGATCTGTTGGCATGTTATCATACTAGTGAGAATGATTATCCTATTTGCACGTGTTTTTATTCCAATGAGTTGGAGCATTGAAAGTGAAATTAGGACCCAAATAGTGCATTTAAGGCTGTGTAGTATGGCATGTATGTTGTAATGGATGATTGTTAGGTTTGATTGATGACATGATTGAGCATCAATGATGCATGATTGATTGTTTTCACAGAAACATATCTAGCATGGTATGCAACAAGATTATAATATATATTTTGTTTTGCAATACTGCTGTAGATGGTCCATGCGAGTGTATGCTATTGAAACGGACGTTCATGTTTGGCTAAGCTTAAAATGATCGCTTACAAGTAAATTTGGCTTACGAGTAAAGAAGTTTTCAAAGCAAATATATTTTATTGTTCAAAATTGAAAATAAGTTACTTATTTTAATAATAAGGTTAAGAGTTACGTTTATATTAAGTGACCTTTATTACTTAAAAGGAAAGAAAAGATATTCAAACATGCTAGAAAATAAGTTACTTAAATGTAACGTTTACTAATTTAAAGCTTAATAATTTCTATATTCCTTTATTGTCAGCTTGCCAATTAATTTATGAAACAGAAGTTATCTTTTATAACTTCTACTACATCAGTCTTCCCGTTACACTTGCTTTTCATGGATATAGACTTGTGATCTTTAATCATTCTTCTCAAGTCAGGTACGGTACCCGAACCAAAAGAAACTAACAGAACATCTGGTGTATTTTCAAGAAGATGAATTTTTCCTATCACGGTACTGATGGTGTCCTAATTATGTCTCTGATTAAGCTGCCTACACAGGAATAGGTTTGTGGTGATTGACACAAAAATGTTATCATTTTAAATGCTATTTCTATTGACAGAGTTTGATAGTACAAAGCTCAAGTAGTAGGTATTTTTTCGAATCTTTTTGCTGAGCAGTTACTTTGTTCAATGGAAACTTCCAATTTCTTCTTGTTTTTGGTTAGTGTATTGTTGTACTCAAAATTGAAGGGCACACTGATGTAGCACTCAAAACCCCACTAACCTGATGTGTCAGGACAAGCAGGGATGACAAAGTTGAAGTCGGTTCAAGAGCTCCAGCACAACTTAAGATGTTTTCAGCTTAGTTTATTGTGTTTCATACTCCTAGAGTGTGATTTACTAACGATTTCAAGACGTAATAGGAGCATGTCAGGCACTCAAGACTGCATATGGTCCATTCACAAGATATGTCATTTGCCTACACTAAGTTTGACAGTTCTCCCACCTATTAATCTCCTGACCATTCTATTACAGGTATGCAACGCCATTCAGCTTACTGAAATCCTACAAGAGTAACTGATCAGATTGTCGGATCAGATTACCTTCAGTGGTCAAGCTCATTGGGTGATGCATGTTTTGCAGTTTTTCCAGCATTTTGAGGTTCACAACATTGATGGGAGACACTGCAGAATTTGATGCTAACAGATGAGGTTTGTCTATGAGAAATAGCAAGACCAAGCTGAAATTTCATCCCTAAGTTAGTCGTATTCATCATTTTTTAGCGAAGATTAGTAGTACCGACTAGTAAAACTATGACAATACCCACGACACCCTGAAAGCTGGAGTTGATGCTTTTCCACTATAATAAGTCGGCCTACCTGAAGACAGAAGATAGCGCTGGTCTTAAGGAGCCAGACAATGACATTCCCCCGAACCTTCCACTCTAAAAGCTATAATGTGCCTTTCAGAACAATGACAAGTGGATGAGTTGCCAATTCTAGAAGAAAGTGGTTGCAATAACTGCATCCTTGGTGGAAGTGAAGATGACCGAAGAAAAGGGTACACGACAGGCCTTTCAAAAACAAAAGCCAGGACCATGAAGATGACGGATCAACACTATTGGTGGAATCAATAGGCTCATTCACGGAAGCTATCTCGGCATGAAAGTCCTATCTTCTAAGAAGGCATACAACCCGTCTTCTATTGGTTAGGAGGCAACCAAACTTCTTAGGTAGGCAAAAGGCCGCAAGCTTGGACATGGTGCAACAAGGAGAACTGATATAAACTAGAAGCTACGAGGTTTTCCTTCCATAGTGAAGGGCGTCCAACTCGTACAAGCACTTGAAACTTGAGGGTCAAAGAATAATCAATAATACTGGTGCATTACCGATCCACCTACACAGGAAAGGTAGAAGGGAACTCAAGCAAGAGATTCTCTGATGCAATATGGCTTCTTTAGCGAAAAGAAGCCAACCGAGGATACGGCCTTTTGAAGCTCGAAAGGCAAAGTTTAGTATCTTATGAAAGTGTTGCCTAAGCATGCAACCTCAACACTGATAGGTAGAAGTGTGCCCAACTCAGGGTAGGAGGTTACTTCCATAGTGAAAGGTAGGAGAAAATTGAGCTCAAAGTTTTTTGAAGCTTGAAAATCAAAGAATTGCCATTGGTGGTAGGTGATGCCTCATTTTGCACCGTTCACTGCAAAATGTAGAAGGGAGGTCAAGCCTACTATCATTTGAAGCTAGGAGGTCTTTCTTTTGTATGAATCCTTTAAGCTTAGTCGTCAACTAAATCAAATGATACCTCAAATCACTCAGAAAGAGGTGGAAGCAAGCCCAAGCTTGTGATCTTCTCAAAGAGGAGTGAGCAAAGGTAGGTACCACATCTTTGAGTTTGAGAATCTAGTGGTGGCCACATTGAGATAACGTCAATCTCACTCATAAGCCAAGAACTTACTTAGCACCAAAGTACATGTTACTTGGAATCTCAAAGAGCACAATAGAATGTTAAGTTACTCAAAAATCTAGGCCACATGAGCTCGGTGCTATATAAGCGATAATTATTGAGATCATCTGAAATAAATTTCGAGTTTTAGACGAAATTTGATTGGAGATGAACTTGTCCAACTATACATTCGAAGTATATGGCATGTGGATGGAAGTCTTTCTATTTATCAGCCATGTAGATTGCACTCCATAAAATGCATTGGAGATGCTTTATTTATGCACAACTAGTGTTACAACTCATTTTTTAAAGTCAAAAGTCAAACGTTGACTTGTCAAAGTCATAGTCAAATAGGACCTAAATGAAGC